GAAAATAAAAATTAATTACTGAAATTATAATATGTCATTAAAAAAATGTTTTTTAAGGAATTATTTTTTAATTAAGTTATAATATTCCTTAATGTGAATTGTTAATTTTATTGATTTGATTATTGCGTAATAAATTTTGCCTTTTATTTTTTAATGAAAGCTTTGATATGATTAATGGACGAAAAGGAAAATTTCAGCAATTAATTGCTTAATTTATATGCAAAAAAAAAATCCTCGCAAAATTTTCCAATTAGAATTTGTTATTTATTTCTCAATTTATATATCATTTGTGTGCAATGAAACTCGAGTGATAAATTTTTTTTTATTTATTACATATTTTCCATAAAATTTATACTACACATTTTCAAGCTCTTTTTTTTGATTTAATTAAATTTTATTCAAAACATTCGCAAACAAAATAGTATTATTTTACATGTAAATAAAAAAAAAATTTTAAATAAAAAAAATCTTGTTTGAAACAAACAAACAACAAATTGTTGTACACATTATAAAGCTTTATAGCTTTATCCTCTTTAAAGAGGATTTAATGATGTCACTCGTTATTCCAGAGAAAGTTTTTTAGAAAGGTGTCAATAATTAATTAACATTAGTCTGACAATCGGTTAAGATCTTTTCTTGAAAATAATTATATTTTAGGTACCTAATTATTGCAAAAAGAAGTTATTAATTATATATTTTGTTAGCATCTCGAAAGAGTATATTTTGGGCCAAAAAAAGGAGAGGAAGAGATCAATCAGAATTCTTTTTTCTAAAAAAAAAAAAGATAGGTCCAATTAAATTTGTGTCGACATTCACAAATTTAATATTGAATACATATTGTTTCTAAAAAGCAAATTGTGAAATATTGCCGAGTGCAAAAAAAATTATATCTTAAAACTTTCACACATATAGTGCAAAAAATTAATTAATTAACAAGAACAAATTTATTATTTGTTTTATACTTTTTTTTATTTATAATTTTATTTATTATTTTATTTATTAATAATTTTAATTTTCGATAGAAAAAAGGTCATTGTTTTTTTTTAAATGAATTACAAGTTAATATCTTTTACACTGAATGATATTTTAAAACGTAGTTTAAAAAAAAAAAATTTAATTTCATTGGAGCTTTAAATCCCCGAAGAGCAGCCCAAGTTAATACTGGTTATATACAAGAAAATGTTCTACACGCTGGCTTTTAACTCTCGTTAAATTAAGTTAATGCAGTAACTCACACAACCAAATAGTTGTAGCTTTTAATGGATTTTTTTTTTTTAATGAAAATGTATATTTGTATTTTGTAGGTGCGAGCATATGCGCAAAATGTTAATTAATTCCTATAATTATAATAAATAATGTCTAACAAATGTAATAAATATTATATAATTATCAGCTCTGTTTCATATATAGGAAGAATCACGTTTCAGACCTTAATTATAATAATTACACTTTAATTCTCCTGCGGGTAGAGAGATTTTGTTAATGTTAAATTTCACAGAGAGAGAGAGGGGGATAGAGGTGGTATAGTTTTAAAAGGGAGATTTTAAAAACTCGTTAAAAATACGTTTCAAAAAAAAAAAAAATGAATACAAAATTCCAATTTGAATTTTAAAAATTAATTTTTTATTAACTTTTTTTCTCGGAAACTTTTTGTATTTTTGTTTCAAAAAAAACTGTGGAAAAATTGTCTTGACACAAAACTACTTTTTTTTATACATATCAACCGTAAATTTAGTTAACTAAATGAGAAAAAAAATTATTTGATTCAAATAAATATTTACTTGAACCAAATAATTTTTATTTTCATTTTTATTGAATAAACTGTATTTGAACCAATAATTTCTGTATTTGAAACAAATATTTAAATATTTAAATAAAAATTAAACCGTTTTAGTTAACTAAACTAGAAAAAAAATTATTTGATTCAAATAAATATTTACTTGAACCAAATAATTTTTATTTTCATTTTTATTGAATAAACTGTATTTGAAACAAATATTTAAATAAAAATTAAACCGTGAATTTAGTTAACTAAACGAGAAAAAAAAATTATTTGATTCAAATAAATATCTACTTGAACCAAATACTTTTTATTGTTATTTTTATTTTTATTGAATAAACTGTATTTGAAACAAATATTTAAATATTTAAATAAAAATTATTTATTGCGAATAAATATTTATTTGATAATAAAGCAATTATTTGAATCAAATAAATTTTGCGATTTTTTTTGTCTTTTTTTTTTTAAATCAAGTGAATTTGGCCTAATGAAAAATTATATTAAAATTATTTTGCCTTAATAAAAAAAAAATCCCTTTCTAATTATCTTCTATCTGTGGAAAACAACTATTTCCACTTATAAAATAATTTATTTTACCTATAGGAAAATATTTTTCTATTGTCAATATCAATATTAAATAGTGATAAATTACAAACTTTGTTGCTAATTTTAATTCCTAATCATATGTAATTTTCTATACTTATTTAACATTGTAGTACATATTCGGGAGAGCAAGTAAGGAATTCTTCCGGCATTGTAATTTTTTTTTTTTTTTTTCAAATTGTAAACAATGTTAGAGATTAGGTAGCGGAGAATAAACCAACATGGAGTAATTAAATGGTACCATCTCACGTCTAAGTACAACAATATATATATATCGCGTAAGCGCGCAATTACTTTCTCGCATTTACTACAAGGATGCGAGGATTCTTCGTTGGCATAATGTTGAAAACGATGGTTCCCTCACTATGTCACGAACATCACCTCCATGTTGACCTTTCATAGACAAAACCTATATTTGCTCCATTAAATTATTTATATTTATAGCTCTCAAGTATATATTATTATATATTTTAAGTAATTATATTTTTTCCATAGTAATTACTTTTTTTTATATATATTGAATTGGAGAATTTGATATGGAGACAATAAAAATTGAAAATAAAAAAAAATAAATAAATAAAAAAAGAAAAAATTAGCTATATATAAATAAAAGACGATTTGTAATGATTTTCTAAAGACTGAGAAAAAGAGAAAGAGATAATGCAGTAGGAAGTAGTAAAAGTTAATTATCTACCCTTTTAATAAAGACTTGAAACGATAATTTCAGTTACCATCGTCGGAGTGGTTAACCGCGCAATAGAATATCACAAAACACTCCAATAGAATACACAACTCTCTCGAATGTTTATTACAATATTTAGTCTTGATACTCCAAATGTGATGAAAGAAAATGTGCTTCTTGTCTTGAATGTTTTAAATACAAGTACAAACACGAAATCGTAATTGAAATCAATTAAGAAATTCTTCTTTACTCTCATAGATGTATAATTTGGTTCTCTATTTTTCCTAATTTTATTTTCATAATTTTGCAATTTTCCTAAAAAAAAAAAAAATAAATTCCTAAATCCTAATTTTTCCTTCAAATGAATTTTTATATTTTAAACGGACAGAAATTTTTTGAAATATTAAAAGAAAAAAAAATCCATTTTTCCCATCTTAAGAAAAAAAAATTTCCCAAATTACAATAATAATTTTGCAATTTTCCTAAAAAAAAAAATAAAATAAAATAAATTCCTAAATCCTAATTTTTCCTTCAGATGAATTTTTATGTTTTAAACGAACAGAAATTTTTTGAAATATTAAAAGAAAAAAAAATTTCCCAAATTAAAATTTAAATAATTTTTCTTAACAAAAAAATCAGTTATTAATAAAAATTAGTTATTTAGCACAATTAATAATTTTTTTACATTTCCATTGAAATAAAAAATTTTTCAACTTTTTTTTTATTGGAAAAAAATTGATAGTTCGAAAAAAAAGTCAATTACTCGCAATTATATTTTTAAAAAAATCCATATCTGATGGTAAATAACAGTAAAATTAGCTTGTACTTGTATTTTTTGTAAAAGTTGAATATACAAAGTCGCGGATATAATCAATGTTTAAAAGAACGAATCAAGGAGAATCCCCCTCGCGACGTAATTTGAGATCAGTTTGTATATATCGAAGATTGAAGATAACTTTAAAAGACGAATACACACATGAACTTTGATTGTGTGTATATGTGTATATACTTTGTTTCACGAGCGTGAAAAGGTGGACTCTTGAGGTTAGAGATCATGCTTTCACTGTCAGATGCGGATACCCCCCGGGATAATAGAATGTCACGCCGAACTGATATAATCGGTGCAAATATTTGCAGCTGCTGTTATAGTCACCGCGTGATCATCCCGCGCAAATCGTGATTTGCGAAAACAAAAACCCCACCTAAAATATTCTCACAAAACCATAAATTTTCTATGGATTTTTGCACATTTATTTCTCGTGTACAAAAAAAAAAAAGAAAAAAAAGTTTCTCGACTCACTTTCGATCCCGATTGTTCTTCTTCATATATTATTTTATCGTATAGAAATTTTGCGAAAAACACAAATAATTCAAAACTAGAAATAATTAAATTTTTTTTTACAATTTTTTATTTATTTATTAATTCTTGATGATTTTTTTACTGTAGAATAATTATAAATACCCTTATCAGTAATTGATGGTAATTTTTTTTTTTTTTTTTTTGTGACTTTTAAGGGACTTATCGGAGAGATGTGACATAACTGCAAAGAACACAAGGTGGGGTGGGTTAGAGGAAGAGAAAACAGAAGTAGAAATTTTCTATAGGCAGTGATAGAAAGTGCTTTATAAAGTCTCATGTTCATCCTGTTGAACTTATGCGAATGACCTTTAAGTTCTTGATCGTCACCTTTATTCACATCGACTCAAAAATCATTTTTTCGAAGAAAAAAGAAAACAAAAATTTTCTATACCTAAAGACAATATTTTCAATTCGAAAATTCACTTTTAAAATTGGTTTCTTTAAAAATAAATTTAACAAATATTTTTTATTTTTGACAATTTAAAACTGAATTTTGTCCTAATAAAAGAAATTTTTTTCAAAAAAAAAAAAAAAAAAGCTGATAAAGGTGATTGTTAAAATAAAAATAGCAATAATCTAAGTAACTAATACGTTTGCATATATTATTCACACGTGCATTTTTTTTTTTTTGATGTACATAATGCGTATGGGATTGATACACAAAACAAGATATCTTTTACATCCCCTTATACATTTTGTAATAGTCTTCTTAAACCTACAAATTTTTATGTCTGATTTTTTTCTTGTATTTATAATATACATGTACAAGCATAGGTACTAGAACTAAATAACAGTGAAGTTTTGCGAGTTTTGCTGATTATAATAAAGACTTTCTGCGAATACTACAATTATGTACATGTGCAATAATTTTTTTTTTTTTTTTTTTTTTAATTATAATTCTCGAGGCACAATACCACTAATTTCAATTACACACAATTTTTTAAAGTATATATATATATATATAGATTATTCGAAATATATGTCATTAAATATTTTTTCTTTCTTTTGATATCTCTATAGCTTCAAAAAGTCTCTTCGTATTTTTGTTCTTTTTTCAAACATTGCTTTCGCAAAAAATCTTTAAAAAAATCAGTATAAATTGTTTCTAGAATATTTTTTGTTTTTTTTTATTTTTCATCAGAAGGTAACTTCGGTAATCTATTTAGAGAATATAGAATTTTATAATGTTTTCTCTTTTGTCGGCAAAGTGTACATGAAATATTGTCCAGATACGCATATTTATAATATATATATAATATTTTTATATTTATATATAATAGTAGTTAGCATTAGAATTATAATTTGTTTTTATAAATTTACACGCATGCAATTTGAAAGATTGGATAGATGTGAAAATAAAAACATAAATCATGATCTACATTATAGAATCATTCGTTTTTGTATATAAATATGATTTTCTCTGAATTTTTTTAAATTACAAAATCATTTGGGACAAGTTTCCAATTCGAGGCACATTTTTCGCTATTTTTTGTTTGTTTGTTTGTACTCACAATAAATTCCAATGATCTATTAACGAAATTAATCTGACAATATAGATATTTATATATTTCACAGTATAAAATATTCTCATACTATTTAGATTTTTCACAGAAATATAGATTTCTATTATCTTTGGAATTAATTGTGAAAAATATGGACTTTAAAAAGCATTTATCGATTCATATGTGATACTTTGCATTTGATATGTCACGATTACTTTTCATATTTAAAATAGAGAAAATCGTTGAAATTTTTATTTTTCACTTTTTGGAATATAATTTTCATTCTTTTTGTTTTCATTTGAAATTCGAGTAAATCAATTTTTTTAAAATCAGTATTAAAAATAAAATTTATTATAACAAAAACCTTTAATATTCTAGAAATAAAAAAATTGTCCCAAATGTTTAAGTTATTGACATAGTTTTTTTTTTAAATATTATAAATAGAATACATAATTTATGATACCGAAGATTCCTAAATAATAATATAATAATAGTAAAAGTGTCTCTATTGACACATCATTCCTATCACAGAACGAATCGATCTTTATAATAAAAGTTAACTCTTTTTTATTGATAATTTTCACAATACAGAATGAAATTAAAAATTTCTTTTTGATAATTTAATTTGTACAATAAATAAAAAAAAAATGTTCTCCATTTTAATTAAGATTTCTACAATTCGCGAAATTATTATTCGAAGTACTGAAAAGAAAATTTTCCTACAATGAAATAAATTTCTACTATAAATTATTATTCTATAAATAAATTTAATCAACATCCAACAGGATATTTATTTGATATTTTTATTGTCCAATAGGAACAATTAAAAAAATTTTCATCTATTAAAGTAATATTTAGATTTCTATTTGAAATAATTAAAATATAAAGAAATTAATAAATCCGTTTTCATTTCTATAGATGTAATTGATAAATGATCAACGTAAAAATTTATTTTAAAAAATCTGCTAAAAATAGCAAAAAAATTAATTATGACAAAAATAGAAATACGAGAAATATTTTCACTCACGAAATTATTTTAAATTGCGCTACATTTTCGTCTGTGATTTAGTTTCGCTTTAATTACTAATTATTTTATTTAAATATATAACGCTGACTTAGATAACAAAGAACCGTCGTCGTTAACTAGGTTTTAAATTCTTGACATACAATTGAAACTAACCTAAATGGAAATTTAAAAAAAATAATTGCACAAGTTATTTGTCCCTTAAAGACCAAAAAAATAATAAAAAAGACAAATTAATTTAATTAAAAAAAAAAAAGTTACGCGTCTCCTGCACATTACATCAATGATTCACAATTTCTATTTTCACACTGTACACGGCGAATACTCAACGCTTTATTTTTTTTTTTATTTTTTTTTGCTGAGAGCATATTTTTTTTTTTCCCAAATAAATTTTCCAATTTTCCTCTATACTATTTTTTCCATATAATTTAATTGTAAATTGTCGTTAATCTCGTAAAAAGTTTTCGATGAATATTTCGAAAAAAAGTAAAATATTATTCAACGTTAATAAAAAAATATTGAAGAGTTGATTTAAATATATTGTTGTGCTCTTAGCAAAAAAAAAAAAAAAAAATGAGAAAAAATAGTACACTTTGCAACAGCATAATTATAACTATATCAATATTTTACGATATCATATAGAATCATATTACATTTATAATTATTATTATCTGAGTATCATAGTCTTAATTTCTTTACATCATGATTTTTAATGTCTACCTAATTTAGATACATCAGAACAATACAGTGAAAGAACATTAATGGGGAACCACCTATTAATTTCTTTTACCTAATTATATGTAATAATTTTACACTTTGCATACGATTACACATTATTAATCTATTAAAGTTAAGATTTAATACTTTAACAAAAAGAGTACCTTTTATCGATAATTTGCCATTATTTGGACAAATCAAAAAAAAAAATTCAAAAACGCACTGAATAAAAAATAATGTACAACAAATTCAGATACGCGACAATAATAAATTGTATTTTAAATAGCTTTTAAAATTTATTACTTTAAAAAAGCAATCGTTACTTTTTCATAAAAAGCATTCTTCTTTTTTTAATGTTACTTTTTTTTTTTTTGCTTAAAAAGCAACTTTTTTTTAAAACTCACTTTTCAAAAAAAGCAATGAAATGGCCAAGATACAATAAATTATTTCATATAACACACGAAATCAGTATTTGATTATAAAATGTGATGTTGATTAAAAAAAAAAAATCGAAGAATTTCCATACTATTGAAACTGGAATTTATTAATTTAAAATTTGATAACGTTTAATAGATATTCCAAAATATTTAAAGATATATTTCAAAATATTTATATAAAAATTGAATCATAAAATCCAGTTTCTAATAAGAATTAAAAAAATCAATTCCTACACAATTACTAATTAAAAAAAAGAGGCATAAAATTTCATCACAATAATTGTCTTGGTCATTGTAAACAAAAATTGTATGCAATGCACTCATATAATTCTATATATAAGCACTATGGGCCATCTTGTACAATTTTATACATAGCTACGTAAAATTTAAGGCAGGGCCAGTAGTAGAGATATCAGCGATGCACCAACTCGATCATCATCATCATCATCATCATCATCATCATTATCATTATCAGGTTAACAGAAGATGGAAATAAGTCTTGGCCATATTCACAGAGGGTAAAAATGGTGTAATTAAAAAAAAAGAAATGGGACAATAAAAATGTTCGAAGATGAAGATAATGTCAAAGAAAAAAAATAGGACCGATTTTTTAGGCATATTACACAATATTTACAAGCACAATACTCCGTCTTCTCAGTGCCAATTGAAGTCCTGAAATAATTAAAAATTTTCTTTTTATTTTATTGGCGTTTAAAACAAAATTTGATGCAAATTAAAATATATTTTGTCTCAGAGCCTAATAACTTTTTGTTTTAATAAAAAAAATTTATTTAGCACAAAATCTATTTGAAACAAATATTTATTTGGCTCTGAGACAAATCTTTTCTCTGGGTGTAGATGAAATATTTTAGTTAATAAATAATTATTTATTAATTATAATTAATTGCATTAACATATTTATTAATTAGAAATTATATTATTGAAATTTTTATTCTGTCACCAAAAATGTTACGACAATGAAAACAAGTAGTTAAATGAGTGTAATTTGTACAAAGTGTTATTAAAATTTTCTATCACCTTTTTAAAATTAAGGGGTCGATTACAAAATTTTTTATTGTTACCTAGAATGATTTTTTGATTTTTTCAAAGAATTTTTTTTTTTTGAAATTGGAATTGCGAATTTAAATTTACTGAAAGAGATTTTTTGAAAAAAAAAACAAAAACAAAAAAACAAGGAATTAGATAGATACCTAATCCCCTCACAGAGCACCAAAGGGGTCGAGTTGAACTGCATTGTTTTGTGGTTGAGCAGTGGGTTGTGGAGTTTGTTGTTGAAGAGGAGCACCCATAGCTGGGTTTGCTCCCATCATCATAGGAGCTGCTCCTCCTGCAACCATCATTCCGCTACCCGCGGCTGGGGCACCAGGTATTGCACCCATCATTGGTCTCATACCCTGCATACCCACAGGCATTCCCTGCATACCCTACACAAACCAGAGACGCAACAAACTATATATAACATCTATTTACAATTTTTTCCAAAAAAAAAAATTCCTGTTACAATTCTTCAAGATGCTCCATCCATTTAAGAGAAACTTTTTATTAAAAAAAAGAATTATTTGATAATTTATTTCAATAAATAAATTTTAAATAAAAATTTCTTTCAGAATTAAATAACTATAAATATTTATTTCTGAAACAAATATATTTCTTCTTGTTCTAAAACGCTTAAAAAAAGTAATTGATAGAATTCATTTCGAACTAACATTGAATTTAATTTTAATGAAAAAAAAGAAATAAAAAACAATCATCAATTTCAGTAAAATTCGTCATAAAGCATAGGAAAGAAAAATAGAAACGAACTTTTTTAAAATGAATAAAATATGCAGTGTCGACTATATACAAAAATTATTGTACAATAAATATCAAATGCTCAATGGTGGAAAATGACCATTTTAGTAAAAAAAAATGCAGAAGCGAATGCATAAATAGTTAGTTAACATAGAAGTGAGTAGAAAAAAGACTTAATTATTTATATTCAATTTCTACTGTGTGCAATTGGATAATACAAAAAATTATATTAATTAGAAAAAAAAATAGCAATTTTTCTGTGAAAAGTGCACACAGGAAAATAATTTAGTGACAAAAGCAGTGAACTGGTACAATAATAAATTAAATACTTAACAGATGCTGCTGTTAAAATGCAGATATTTTTTTTTTTACTGTTATATAAATATAAATGCACATTTATTCTCGATGCAATAAAAACTCACCAGTGCTGTGGATTGAGGGGAATATCCCAATGTGGTTGTTGAAGGAAGTTGCATCATTCCTTGACCCTGTAACATCCAGTAACATGCCAAATGCCATGCATGCATCACAAAACTAAAACTGCCATTTGTGAAAATATCTTTTGACTCAATAAACTAAACTGATAAGAACAAATAATGTTTATTTCTAAAACTACTATATTGCAACTTTTTTTTTTTTTTATTAATCCTTAGGTGATTTTTAATCACTACTTTAGGTGATATTTAAACACTACTTTTTGGTGATTTTTAAATCTACTTTCATTAAATTAATTAAGCTGTGGTAATAATGTGTGTTTAAAAAATAATCAAAAATTTTAGTAAAAATGAAACTTCATTAAAATAATGTGTCATTAACCACCAAGAGAGAATCACAAAATTCAATGTAAAAAAAGCATTTTTAAAAAAATCATTCGGGAATTTTAATGTACATTTAGAAATAAAAAATAATCATGCTATAAAGTAAAGGACTTATTTAGCTGACAATGAAAATTACCATTGGACGATATCCTGCTCCAGTTGTAGCTGCCATTGGTTGTGGCGTCCATCCAGCCTGTCCTGCTTTAGCAGTATTTTTAGGCGAGTTCCACTGCATTCCTCTAAAAATATTTATTTTTTATTAGCATCATTAATAAAATAATTAAAATAGAACTTAACTCGGAAAGTAATAAACAAGAAATGTATGATTGTACTTTTTTTTCTATGGCCCTTGATTTATAGTTTAGAAAAAAAAAAAAATATATCTTACTTGACTTGTTGCTGTGCACTCTTATTAATGGAAAGATTTTCCGCAAGACTAGCAAGGCTACTATCTAAGTCGCCTGTTAAAACTTTTCCACTTGCAACTGCATTTGGTTGCTGAGCACCTAGAAATTTATTAAATTTTAACATTAATTTATTAATTAAATACATGAATTTTCATCTTTCATAGACTTAAGCGCGACTACAATAGCTAAATTCAAAAAAAAAATTGATATCCAAAAAAAAAATAGATTAAAATGAATAAATTATAAAACTACACTTAAATGGAATTTCTACACGATGTTAAATCGTGTATATAGTTATATAGCTTTATACTACTTTTTACACCAAAACTACTTTTTACAACAGAAACACTTATTTTCTCTAAGCTACTAACACAAATACTTTTTTTTTTTTTTTGATAATACTGCTAACTAATACTATTATTTTATTAAATCATTTTCTATGTTTTGTAATCATAGACGTTGTGTAAGAATTACATAAGCATCTAGCAGGGTGAATTGTGGTTCCTTTTTATTTATGTTTTCTTACACAAAAGCATTAATTTGTCTTTTACTACTAATAACAAAAACAAAATAGTGACTCTTTTTTTTTACTACAAATAACGAATTGTTTGAAATCAAACGATCGGAACAGTTTTTTTTTTATTTTTTACAAAAATTAAAACATGACTGACTGTAACCAATTTTTACTACTAATATCAAAACTATTAAAAATTTAAAACATTGCGTGTTTAATGGAAACTGTCTAATGAAATTTCAAAAAATTAAATTTTTCTCTGATCGAAACTGTATTTTACATAAGTTTCCGAAGAAAATAATTTTTGATTTTTGATTTAAGGATTATCTAATCTAACTTAAACCATCAACTTTAAGTAATAATGATAATTGAGGAGCACAACCTATTTTCCTCAAAAGGAATAAAGCGTTGATGAATTTCCCATAAAAAATCATGAGTTAAAATTTTCATTTTAAATAAATTTATTAAATTAAATTATTTTTTAGACAAATGATCAATTAACAGAATTTCTTTTTTAAAGGAATTTTTAGTCAATAAAATTTTTAGGTATCTAATTTTTATTTGACAGAATTTCTTTTTACTCAACTTTTTATTCAAAAAACTAATTTAATTGAATATTAATTTAGTAGAATTCTTTATCAACAAAATGATCAGTGATTAAAATTTTCAAATAACAGATTTTTTTCACAAATTTTCATTTTTCGAATTGTCATTTGACAAAATTCATATTACAACGAATTTTTACTTTAATTTTTTATTAAAAAGAATTCTAATTTAACCAAATTTTAATTTAGCAGAATTCTCATTTAATAGAATTTTAAGTGCTTCGAATCTTCGAATATTATAAATTTTCAATTTACTGAATCTTAATTTGACCGAATTTTTATTTTAGAATTCTTAAAACGTTGAATTTTCATTTATTTGAAATTGCAAATGGCCAAACAAATAATCGACAAAAAAAATTTGGGCGCTGTTTTTAAAATTTACCAATTACAAATTTTTTTTTTTTTTTAATTTCTGTTTGGTTAACACAGGTTTACAGTGGAATTGTCACTCGAACAAAACATTTTTTTTCCGATTAATATGTGTTTTTTGAGTAAGAAAATCATATTTAAAATTTTTTTCCCTCGTGCAATTTTTTTGGAACAGCAAACTATGCATTTTCGAGGTGTCACGTCACATAAAGTCACCGGTAGAGAAAGCAATTAATCCAAAATGTAAAAAATAAATCACCATTTGAAAGATAATTAAATTACCTCTCAAACCATTGGCCAACCAATAAAATCCATTCAAAATTGTCTGAGTTACAGTCGATCAAAGTTCAAATTTCAAGCAAATTTTAATGATTTTTAGACATTCGTCTAACTTTCGCTAATTTTTTCAAAGTCAAACAACCAAAAAAATGCGCAGGTTTTAAATTTTTTATTAATAGTATATTTAATTACGAAACTTTTAAGCTTTTATAGACCTCGATCGGATAAAAAATGACAATTTTACACTAGATTTATTGAACAAAGTACTTTTTCACTTTTAGTTTATTTTCAAGTGTTTTCGATCTATATCAGTTTTGTATAAAACTAAGTTAAGCGAAGTTCACCAAAATGAGTACTCGGGGGTTTTCGAAGTCGCTGATTACGAATTCGAGGTTAGTTTTTCAAAATTCAAAATGGCGGATGCAATATGGCGGACAAAGTTTTAATAATTAGAGCTAAGCACTCCACAATGAGTACTTGGGAGTTTTCGTGGGGGAGTTTCCAATTATATAAAATATAGTACTATTGGAAATAAAATCAAATCAGACTATAAATATTGTCACTACGCTATAATGTAAATAAAATTATAATATGCGGGATCCGCCATTATGAATTTTGAAAAGCTGACCTCAGATTCGTAATTAGCGACCACGTAAACCCCCGAGTACTCATTTTGGTGTACTTAGCTCTAATTATTAAAATTTTGTCCGCCATATTGAATCCGCCATTTTGAATTTTGAAAAACTGACCTCGAATTTGTAATCAGCGATCCTGAAAACCCCTGAGTACTCATTTTGGTGATCTTCGCTTAACTTAGTTTTATACAAAACTGATATAGATCAAAATCACTTGAAAATATACTGAAGGTGAAAAAGTACTTTGTTCAATAAATCTAGTGTAAAATTGTCATTTTTTATCCGATCGAGGTCTATAAAGGCTTAAAAGTTTCGTAATTAAATATACTATTAATAAAAAATTTAAAACCTGCATTTTTTGGTTGTTTGATTTTGAAAAAATTAGCGAAAGTCAGACGAATGTCTAAAAATCATTAAAATTTGCTTGAAATTTCAACTTTGATCGACTGTAACTCTGACAATTTTGAATGGATTTCATTGGTTGACCAATGGTTTGAGAGGTAATTTAATTACTTTTCAAATGGTGATTTATTTTTTACATTTTGGATTAACTGCTTTTTCTACCGGTGACTTTATGTGACGTCACATCTCGAAAATGCATAATTTACTGTTCCAAAAAAATTACACGAAGGTAAAAAATTTAAAATATGTTTTTCTTACTCAAAAAACACATATTAATCGAAAAAAAATGTTTTGTTCGAGTGACAAAAAAAAAATTTGAAATTTCTAAACCTGTGTAGTAAATCCTTTTTCAATTCTGAAATTAAAAATGTTTCTTCCTCCTTGAGTCCTTAACGATTTTAGTAATTATAGAATGTCCTTAACGTGAAAAAGAGGTTGTTATCCAGATGAGAAAAAAGCGTTTGAGGAAGAAAGAAAATAATTAGCAATAAAGTGCGTGCATGCAGCAGAAGCGTGATGTTTTTTTTTTTTTTGATATTCCCTTCACCTGACATAGGCTGCTTTGACGGGGAGCCGTATCCCACAGGAACTTGGGTTTGGGAGGATGGTACTCCGTAACCAACCATGGGCGCACCTGCCATTACAGGCTGTCCAGCGCCCCCCATACTACCTCCCATATCAAACATGGCAAATCCCTGAGGTTGTACAGGTTGCTGCGCTGATTGAACAGGAGGGACCTGCTGGGAAATGGGAGCTGGACGAGATGGAGAACCACCCAGTGCCATACGAATACTGTCGTTTAAATCGTCGAATGCACTTTTATTTTGGGCCGCCGATGATGATGCAGCAGCAGCAGCCGCAGTGGTTGTTGTTGATGTAGCTGACGCTGGCCTACCAGGTGATGTCCCGCCACCAACTGCCGGAGACATTGCACGTGGTGTACCATTAGCAGCTGACGCGGGAGGCGGTGGTCTGGGAGGCGGCGTTGCATTGGACTTGCCAGTGGTAAGAGACGATGATGACATTGCTCCCGGTGGTGGTTGTAATGGTGGTAAACTACCGGTAGCAATGTCAGCGTCACTCCCGTCAATGGCCTTGAGCATTGCTGAGTCGCTTCCAAAGAGATCTGCCTGGCCGCCAGCACTGAATGGGTCTCCACCTTGCGGTTGATTATCACCGCTGCCAGGTGGGTCAGTTACATCTTGGTCAAACATGCCAAGAGCTGCTGCATTCGTAGCTTGAGGACCGGAAGCAGGAAAGTCGGACATGAAGGGATTAGGTACGGCTGTTCCAGAGACAGCAGCTTGCATAAAAAGAGTGACCAAGATGCACACGATTAGTCGTTAGATCAATGTGTGTGTCAGGTTAAAGAGGCACAAAAAAAAGGATAATATTACAGTGTTCAGCAATTTTCAAACAAAAAAATTCAATCACTTTTTAAGGTTTTTGGAATACTGGAAACTCTGCATTATTATTCTTTTTTTTTACGCACAGAGAAACAAGAATTTTTTTCCTAATTTTCTTTACCCCTAAAAAAAAAATTGTTTAGAGAAATAAATTTTATTATCTTTTGTTTTTCTTTGAATTAATCAAAGGCTATTCAAGTATTACGTAATTATTGAATATTTTTGATATTAGTAGTATGAGACAGTTTCAGTCAGACATAATTAAAAATTTTTTTTTTGTACTTTAAGTAGCAATAGTAAAAGTAAGTTTCAGGCACAATTTTTGTAATAGCAACACTTTACAAATTCATGAAAATCTTATAACAGTAGTTAGTCAGTTTTAGTCTAACATTTCAAAGTTTTCTAATTTTAATATAAGTGGTAAAAATTTCCAAATTATTGTAAGTGGTTAAAAAAAGAAATTTTGTGTCAGACAAAATAATTTAAATTAAAATAGTTTTTGTGTTTTGCGAAATGAGTGTATTCAAAATTATATATTTCTGAAATCAGTAGTAAGACACACTTTTAGTCAGACGGAAATTTTTCAAATTATATTCCCATGTATAAACAGATTTTGTCAGACAAAACAATATTTGCAAATGTAGTATCAGTCAGTAGTGTAAACAACTTGCAGTCAGACTTTCTGAATTTATGTAATTTTATCAGTAGTACAAGTACGTTTTAGTCAAGCATAGCTTTATCGAACTATTATAATTTTTCTATCAGTAGTAAAAGACCGTTTTGTCCCGACAAGATATTTTTTTTACTCTAGTAATACTTAAACAGCCGAAGAGAATTTCAATTTACGTTACGTTACAGTGATTTTGAATTTTGAGGTAAAGAAACAGAAAAAAAAAATTCCAGTATTTCTCTTCTCTACAATTTTAAGCCACCCTAATGTGTTTTTTAAAATTATTAGTCTTCTTTTACTAATTAACACCAAGTATCGCAGAATAAATATGTTGGAATAAAAAATGTTAATAATAGTGTTAAAAAAAAGTGTTACAAAGAATAGTGTTTAAAAGAACAGTGTTAAAAAGAATAAAATAAAATCTAATAGAACAAATAATAATTAAACGAAACAAATAATATTAACACAAAATAAAATACTAATTTGAAATTTTATTTGTCCAATAATAATTAAAGAATAAATTAAATGTTTTTCAATATAACGGAATCTACTTTATAACTAAAAATGCAGCCAAAAACTTTCCCTATATAAATCGAAAAACAAGTGACTTAAAAGACTAAAATGATTTTCATGAAAGTGCATTGAGTTCAAAAGCGATATTAAAAATCTAGTTTGATGAATCAGATGGTAAAGGTGAGATAATTCGAAGAAATGACTGATTAAATATTAGAAAAAGTGATACAAAATTTCATTAGCATTTTTTTTTTTTTAATTATTAAATTAATTAAAAATTTTCGAATTTAATTCCCGTATAAAAAAAAATAAAAATAATTTTTATATAAGCGAATTTAAATGATTATAAATGAAATTTTCTAGACAATGAAAGAGGGTGATTTTTTTTTTTATTATATTCTAAAAATAAGGACTTGAGAAACCTTTACCTCATCTGTTTGGAAAAATAGTTTCTATAGTAAAAAGTAGAATCCATAATTTTCTTCGGTAATTTAAAAATTATAATGACATTGTGAGCTTACCCGTTTGTTGATCTTGATTTCCAAAAACAGACGAAAAGTTGTTATCTGTAACAAAGTTATTAGATGGTGGTAGTGCGGCGGTGAAACCTACAAAAACAAAAAAGGGATAATAAAAAAGCGTGCATAAAAAAAATTAAAAGAATTAAAATTAAAAATATATAGCAGATAAATTTTGACAAAAAAAATATATAAAGGCAAATAAAAAAGAAATTGGGTTGGAGTTTTATTTACCGTTACCGTTGGCCATCCACATATTACTTTGTACTGGAGCTGGTTGCGTAGCAGGTGCACCAAACATATCTGCAAATGGATTTCCTGCTAATTGCAGAAGATCGTCTGATGCTTTCTGTGACTGAAACCACACAACATTATTGTATAACGAATTAACTTATTTATTATTTAATTAATTAATAGTTTTAATATTTAATTAAAATTTTATTCATCAATTCTAATAAAATAATGATTTACCAGATCAGCAGTTGGCCCAGGAGCAAATAAATCTACAATTGGTTGACTGGCATTATTTGTAGGCGAGCTGAGGAATGGATTCGTACTTGGTCCTCCAGTTGGGGACTGGACTTTAGCCTGAAATAAAAATTATTTTTTTATTCACAAAGACCAAAATTCTAAGCTAAGTAATTTTTTTTTTTTTTTTTTTTTGGTATCAATAGAAAAAATGTATTTCATATAGAAATAATGATTTTCTAACATCAATTTTATTTTACTTTTCAGAAAGAAAAAAATGAAACGGAAGCCAACCTTGTATTGATTCATGGCCGCTTCCTCCTCAGCAAGTGCTTGTTGCCTCAAAGCCTCATCTATGTGACCATTTCCAGTGTGTTCCAAACGCTGATTACTGGCAGCAGTTCCAAATGCCGTACTGGTGGAAGATAGGGCGGACACTCCCGACTTTACATTCGTTCTATTGCTGCTTGGGTCAATTTATAGGGTGACGGGTTTTCTCGATTGAATGGGAATTGGTGGGAAGGTAATTATGATTTTTTTTTTGTTATTTTTTTCAAAATGTCAAGAAATCGTGAAAGGATAGTGATAGGGATAATTGATAATTGAAAATAAAGGAGAGAAAAACAAAAAAACAAAGAAGTCGTGTAATACATATGTAATATGCAGAAATATATGTCAAAAACTAAAATATAATGTTCCGTGTGCTTGTAAGTTTTATGGAATTCAAACAGTGATACACAATATTTTCAAATTCTATAAAAAAAAAAAAAATATTAAAAAAGAAGATAAAACAATATTTAATTTAATTTAAAATATTCTATCTCAAAGAAAACTACCAAAAAAAATGTCGAGATAATTGAAAAATTATTAATTTGTGTAAAATTCTATTATGAGTCATTGTGTTTACAGTAGCGCTAGAAAAAAAATTTTTTTTTTACTTTTTTTCTTTAATTTATGTACATGAAAAAAATTCACTTTAAATGAGTATAAAGTCTGAAATAAATACTACATAATAAAAAAAAGGTTTCATAAAGTTTTCTTTTAACAATATTCAAGCAAACGACAAATAGAAAAATAAATAAAAATTTTTGTACATTAATGAATAATGTAATTTCCAAAACGAGAAAAATAATATAAAAAAATGAAACACTTTTATGAAAATTAGATTCAATAATTTTTAACGAAATACTCATTGAAAAATATAAATTTTAGCGCTAATGTATGCAATATGTATATATTTACAAGACGAATGAAATGGAAAACTAAGTGTTCTCAAATCACAAACTACGTTTTAGTGAACAAGACTTTTTTTTTTTTTAATACAAAAGACAAAAATTTAATCCAGAGAAAAATTTGAATCGGTAAAGCTTCAAGCACACTTCAAGCGACTTATCAAAAGCAAAAAGTAACTTAGTTACTTCAAGTATACAATATTGATATTTACACTATATTCAAACACTATGAAAATTTTCTCTTTTACATTTTGACAATTATAAAACATTTGATTGATATATTTTTCTAGCAAAACATTTTTTCTTGTAACTAAAAATTAAAATTTTCTTGATTTTTGACAAAAAATTTTTTGTTGCACAAATTCATTTTTATCAATCAAACATTTCCAGTCAAATATTTTTCTCTGAGTTACAAGGAAAAATTTTATTTCATCAAATAATCGATTATAAATATTTACTTGCATCAAATAATTACTATATTTAAATACCATTTAAATGGGAATTAATTATTTGTTATAAATAAATATTTATTTGATAATAATCAAATATCCGATTATTATTTGAATAAAATAATTTTTTTTTCAATCTCCAGAAAATATATATATTAAGCTTGTACATTAACAATAAAAACTGTAACACATTGTTGAATTACAACATGCTTTTATGAAATTGTGCAATTAGAAAATTGATGACCAATGTGAATTGCGTAAGAATTCATTTGTACTTATGCAGAAAATAATGTGTCCTAACTAATAAGAAAAAAATTAATTATTTGTGCCTTTTGTGACATACATAAAAAGCATTGTTCCAATTTTTATTGTATTTTCAGTCAACCAAAAAAAAGATCACTTATTTAAATTCTATTAAATATAAAAAATAAATAGAAAAAAATTAAATATTATATTGAATAGAAAATAAATGAAAGATAACTATTAAATAGAAAATAGATTAAATAGGTTACAAGGGGTGTTTCAAAAAAAAATCTACAACACAATAGGCGTGCACTTTTGGTCACATCGCTGTTCGATTTTTTAGACCATATAAATATCATTGCAATTTTTATTTTAACCTTTGGTTTATATATAAAAAATTACTATAAGAATTAAATTTTATTTGTTAATGTCAAAAATTATTTATTACTAAAAATACTAAATAATTAAAAATTATTTAATTAGTATCAAAAATTGTTTATTAATACAATTTGTTTATTACTATCAACAATTATTTGTATTAAAAATTATTTTTTTGTAAATTTGATAAATTCCTGAAATGTTGTTATTACGAATCAAAATTATTTGTTAATCTTAAAGTTTTATTGAATTAAAATTCAAATTCTAATTAAATAAATAAATGATAACTTGAATATAGACCAAAGGTTTTGTAAAAAAAATTCCTCTACGTGACTCGTCAATAAATCAGAATCAAATATATTTCATAAATGCACCATTTGGCAATTAACGACATACCAGATTCAAACCAGACAGTGTGAAAGTATATTAATCCTAAAATATAACTGAAAATCTGTTACAACCAATTAAAAAATGTCAATTCTCGATTAATTATTGAATTTCTTTATATTCAGAATGAGATAAAAATATATATGAACTTTCGTTTTCATGTGCATGTGTGTTATTGTATATGTATACTTATATAATTTAAAAAAAAGGTTTTATGAAGGTATACATGAAATAGGAAGGATTAGTAGTAACTTAAAATATACTTCCGTCACAAAGGTATTAATCTTATATATATATATATATTATATTAATGGGTTAGGACAAACAATTAAGAATCATATATATACAGTGAAAATATAATATTCCGTTAAAGTGGAAAAAAATTTTTTAACGATAAAAAAACCAAGCAATAAGATTTTAATCATGGCAATTAAACGAGAGTTATTAGCGGAAGTCATAAAATCATAAATCATTTTCTATTCCCACTGTATATATATATATATTGGTCTTAGAATTATTATTATTATTATAAAAAATTGTATAATTAAATACAATGTACCTTGCCGATTGTGTCGGTGTATTTGCAGCTGAACCCTTCTTTCCTTCAAGGGCTGCAAGATGTTGTTCTAAGGCATCTAATAAACTGCTGGGTGCCTAAAAAAATAAATTCATTTTTTAAATTTCATTTTAATTCATTTTAACCAATTATAGTACTAACACTAGCAACGCAAATAAATACTATTTAAATTAATAATAATATTAATTTCAATTAATTTTATTTACTATTTAAATTATATTTCAAAATTTTTTTTTTTTTAAATAACAAATAATTTAAATAACAAAATAAAAAAAATATATTTAAAAAAAAGTAATTCATAATTAAATAAAGAAAAATAAAGTAAAATGTAATTTAATTAATATGTAAACTACCAGGAGAAAAAAAAGTTAATAAAGCACTAAATAATAAATAAAAATCAATAAATTAATCTGTTAACAACTGTACCTCAGACTATCATTCAATAATTTTGAGAAAGGAAAAAATTTGTTAGATCTAGTTTTGAATCAAAACAAAAAAAAAATTAATTTGTTATTTGATTATAAGATTTTTACCTTTGTGAGGTCTGGAATGTCGCCTTTATCGATTCCCACATTCTGAAAATAATAATTAAGATTTAGAAAATGATTTTTTTTAATTTAAAAAAAAAATGCATTTACCTCTGCTACTTTAAGGAATTCCCCGACTCTATCCATTCTAATCAGGAATTTTTTGTACAAATCTAACGCGTCTCTACACTGCTTCTTATTCATATCAAAGTATTTTTCTAGAACATTACAAAAAAAAAAATTATTTGTTTTTTTCTCTTAATTTCTTTTATTTTTCTTAAACATAAATAGTACTTAAATTTCAATGCTAAATGTTTACCTAAAAGATTAATAATTCCATCGTTATAGCCAGCAAATAGACGAATTAGATCTCGAAATAGAAGCATAAAGGCCATATTAATAACACCATTTGTAAGATCATTCGATGTACAGTCAAATTCCAATAATGCATCAAGTTGTGATTGCAATGCTGGCAAAGTTTTTAATAGTTTCTCTGCATTCATTGTGCGTAATGTTCCATCTTCCTTCCTATAATTTAATTAATATTCTATAAATTTTTCATCTTTTCTTTTTTTTTTTTTAAATAAAAATTTTGAATTTGCTTATTTTAAATTTAATTAATTCTAATTTTTTTTTTAGTAAATAAACGAAATTTTCTAATCTTACCCCCTTTTAACTTTGCAGAAATCAAAAGCAACTGTTCTGTAGGACAGGGCTTTCTCATTCAGGTATTTGGCATATCGTCTAATGAATGGTGACATGTCATATCCTGAAAGCAGGAAGAATAAAAAAAATATATAAATAACCTTTTGTCTCGTTAATTTGTATCTCTTTATTAGATAACAAGGAAGCTAATTAAGTTATAACAAAGTGTAAAAATTACGAAAAGAAATTTTTCATAACAAACAATTGTTATTGCGAAAGTTTCCTTTGGTATCAAAAAAATTAATTAAAAAAATATATTCCTACATGAATTGATAATTAAGTAAATTTTAAAATACGAACTTTATGCATATTTAAAAAAAACAGCTTATTAAAAATCTAATCGTTAGATGTCATAAAAACTGTTTTTTTTTTTAAAACCGAATATAGATTATTTTTATTTATTTCGTATTATATGGTTTGGCGCGAAAGATAATGAAAAATTTAAATTATTATTTGAGTTTATCTCGAAGGTGAAGTATGATTCGATTTTATGAAACAAAACAGTTAATAAAAATAAGTATTTAAGATTTAATTAATCATTTAATAGAATATATGCGCTTTAAATAAATTTTATTTTTAAATTTAATTTAATTTCTATTAATGTTTCTATTAATATTTTAATGTTTTAAAGTTTTTATTTTAATTATTAACTAATTAATTGATTAATTAATTCTTAATTATTACGTTAGTTAATTAAGAAAAAATGTAATATGTTACATGAATTATTATTATACAATATATTTATGTGAATCAGGAAAAACTTGTTATCATAACAACTTACCGACTCGAGCTCCAGCTGCTTCCAAATAGAGAAAATTAATCCATGTTAGTATAAATCAAAAAGAGCCAAACACATGGAAAAGAGAAATAGGAATATGTGACAAATGTTTATTAGTTATATGTGAAAGGAGGAGAAACGTTCATGCTGTTAATTTGATAATAAAGTTTCTTTTTACAAACTTTAAAATGTAATATTAAAAAAAATGTGGAAGCTGTTATTTTACATGGTTAAAAAGTTTTCAAGTTTTTTTTTTTTAAGACTATTTTCAAGTTTCACTATATACAAACATTTAATATATTTACCTTGTACACCGCTCTTATCGAGAAAATTACTGAGCTGAAATGTACTGTTGCTAGATGCCAGGTACTGTGTGAACCTCTGCAACAAAAGTCAAACAATTTTTCATTAAATTTTCCCTTTCATAATAAATGAGTAAATTGAAAAAAAAACCTTTTAATATTTTCTTTTAATTACATAAATTTAATTTTTAACAAATAAAGATTTCTTATCAGATTTTAATTTTAAATTTATAAAAAAAAGCGAAGACAAAATTATTCAAAAATTGAACAGGAAAAAAATTCCCTAGTGGAAATTTATTAAAATAGATATTTTTCTGTAGAAAAAAAAAATGGAAAAAGATAATAAAACATAAAAAATTTTCTTTTATTCTAACCGACGAGAAAGATTGTGAAAGATTGTTTACTACGAGTTTATGTTTAGATTGAGAATGTTTCCCATTCGTATATATGAGGATCAAAAGTGCATCGCGGCAAAGAATAAAATTATTCACGAATGCTTTTCAACATTTAAAATCCCTGACCTAGGAATATATATTGAATTGAAATAAATATAGACAAGTTATAAAATTATCTACTAGAAGTGATAAAAAAAATTTTTTTTTTTTAAAGCGCGAATTACATATATCACTCTTTTGAGTAATTTACTTATTTCAATAACAAACTTTCGAACACATTAAATACAGATGATGCAGAATGTCTAGAAAAGATATAGTCTTGTCACTATCTATACCTCTCACCGTTTACGACACAATAATTAAATAATAATTTCATTATAACGATAATAATTTATCGAAGAAATTATAATTTTCTATCTTTTTTTTTAAAAAAATCCGAACCAAAATTTCAGAAAAAAAATTTTCTATTTTAAATATTATTTTTGAGGCAAAAATTTTTTTTAAAAAAGAATTCTATTTTTAAAATTTAAGAATAAAAATTGAAAAACTATTTGCTTCGATTTACAGTATATTAGTGTCTGATTAGAATTTTGGTCCAGTGTCAAGTTGAACTCTTAAGAGTGTGTTTTAGATGTTCGGATTTAAATTTATCTCTCACAATGACCTTAAGTCACACCAATCGAAATAAAAAAAAAATACTCGTTTTGTAATTAAAAATAAAGAGATCCTTAATTTTTTTTTTTTTATTTATCAAACGCGAAAATAATTTTGTAATAAAAAAAAAAATTCTTAAACGTAAAATCACTTTAATAATAATAATAATAATAATACCTCATTTCCATAGCAGAGCATGTGATGCACAGTGATGAGAGCTTTAAAAACCACCGTCCAATTTGTATTTTGTGACCGTTCTATCAATAAATTGGCTAATTGTGGAATCGATACATTTGGCTCATTCGTGCAATGTATTAAATCTGTAACAAAAATAAAAAAGAGTTAATTTTACAATATAAAATACATTTATAAATAATAATAATAATTATTTTTAAAATCATTATGAAAAATAATAATTTTTTTTTTTTTTTTTTTTTTTTTTGAGAAAAAAAGGGATAAATATAAGGTTCATTGAACGACGATCTAAAGAAAAGATTTCTTCAGGATTACAAGACGTAAGATTACAGGTATCGGTATTTGCACGTGTGCCACTTTCACTACAGTTGTTCAATGATCTGAACCAGTTCATTCTCGATTATAAAATCTCTTGCTTCGCAAACCTTACAATTTCCTCGATTAGAACACAAAAGTTCAGCTACATTTCTGAAGATGTAGAGTGACTTTCGTTTTTCTCTCAAACTCATTATAAAATGATTATCAACATTATAAACAATGTATATATACGTAATAACATTGAAACAATAATTATATGCATAATTATATAACTTTCAAAGGATTTCACGGAAACTTAATTTTCTCTTATAACACAGTTATAATTAAAAAAAAAGCGGTCTCATTCCTTTTTTTCTTTCTTTTCTTAATTTTTTTTTAATTAATAATAAAATAATTTTTAATTTAAAAAAAAGAAAAATATTGCTTTAAAAATTTTAATTTAAATTAAAAATAAAATAAATAAATTAATTAATTTTAATTTTTTTTAATTGTCAATGAATTTTTATTAATAAAACTTAAAAAAAAATCTTGTCGCTTCTTTTAATTATTAAATATTTTCATGATGGTTGAAAAGAAGACTTACCATCAGGTAGCTAACGAGATAATATTTAAGTTAACGTCCGAGAAACTGATTTTCGCCCACGTGGTAATGTCTACTCGACAATAATTTTGTCTTTGAAATGGTTATCATAGTTGCTACAAGCTCAATTACTTAAATTCTAAGCTTGATAGTATTATTTTAATACGTCTAACGTTATAAACGCGAATTGCTTGAAAAATAGGAAACAGAAAAAGATGAAAGCAATCTGTACAATATTTAAACCAACCTTGACTATATTCAAAAGCAACATGAGAAAAATAAAAAAAATCCCATTACAGTGAAAATTTTATTGAATTCAGATAATTGATTATTCAACTATAATCAATTTTTAATTATTTTTTTTCAAAATCAAAAAAAAAAAGAAAGAGAAAAAATATTTTTTAAAATTGAAATTCTCTTTAATGTCTCGTAAAAGAGAAAAACATAATTTGGTTATTCAACTATTATCAATCTTTAATTATTTTTTTTCAAAATCAAAAAAAAGAGAAAAAATATTTTTAAAAATTGAAATTCTCTTTAATGTCTCATAAAAGAGAAAAACATACTTTTTGGCACATGGGACCTATTAAAGTAAAGTTGGATTGAAAAAAAAAGAAATTAAAATTTACATTCGAGATGAAACGACTGATCTTTCACTTGACCCAAGATTATAAAGCAAAGTGTCGCGTTAAAGCTGATGACTCTTCAGTACGTGTCCTTGGTCTGAAAAAAAGATCGATTGCATCGACCGATTCGCTAGTTTAGCACAGCGTTGGTAACAACCGCTGATGTGTGTTTCATCTCTGGTATTACATGCATTGCTTTAACAGAATCTTATTCATGTTTCTCAGGATGATACTGAAGCGAAATTCTATATAATAAGGAAGCAAAAGCAAAAAAAAGGGGGGAGACAAAATACTATGTAATTTCATTCTAATCATAATCTTTCTCATTTATATATTATATATATATCATATCCGCGGCTATATCAATGTCAAGGACAATATAGTCCTGCAGCTTTATTATGTGACAATTGCATTTCCGCAAAATAAGTTCAAAGACATTGACCGTCCTGCATAATCAATTGATAATAATAATAAAAAATAAAAATAAAAAAAATAAAAATAGTAATAAATAAATAAAAATAAAAAAAATAAAAATAGTAATAAATAAATAAAAATAAAAAAAATAAAAATAGTAATAAATAAAAAAATAATAATAAACAATAAAATAATAAAAAACACAAAGAAAGAAAATGAAATATTTTTCAAAATAGTAAAATAACAAAGAAAATTAAGAACTAACAATTTTTATGCTAAACAAAAGCGTTGATAAAATTACAATTTTACTAAATGTAATTTTTTTTTTGCCTTTGTTTTTGCAGTTATACTTAATTGGAACAAACAATTTATATTGCATTTAAAAAACTGGTTATTGCAACAAAATGTATCGCAATTTTTTTTACAGCCTGCATTTAGAATATTTAAAAAAAAATTAAAATATTTATTAAAAACAAAAAAAAAAAATAATTGACAATTTTATCAAGAAAAAAAAGTTCTTTTTTGGTCATTTTTCTACTTTAGAATTGAATGAAGATCGCATTGCGCGAAACGAGGTGTTATCATAAATAGTTTCTATTATAAGAATATTAAATGACAACAGTATTACGATATACGTTCATAGTTAAGTGTATGACTCACATATAGAGAGAAAAAGATAAATGCTCTTTATAATGTGTAATCATTGACACGTGCAAGATACAAGCTCATTACATTTAATTTTCAAATTTTGAATTTCCCTTTTGTATATATATCATAATCTTTATCTTTAGAAAAGAAAATATGATTTTTCAATAAAATTTTTTTTATTTTATAAAAATAGGTAAATTTATAAAAAAAAATTTTTTTTTGTTGAAATACAATTTTTAATCTAAAATTTTTTTGTAATAATTTTTGGTCTCTTTTGAAAAGATCAGCTTAACCAATCAACACCCTTTAATGACCTCGTAACGATTTACCAACGTTAAACACGTGATCTTAACTGTATTTGATACTTTTTACACAAAGCTCTAATACAATAAGTAGACACTATTTTTGTAAAAAAAATAATAAATGAGTAAATAATAAAATTAGAAAAAATAATAATAATAAAATTTAAAAATAAAATTTAAAAATAAAATTATAAAATAATGTAATAATTATAAAAAAAATTAATGGTAATAAATAATCATTTAGCTAAATGAAAGAAAGTATTTCCTAATTCATATAAACAATGGTTCATCTTTGTTAATTTGTAGTTTAGTTTTTTTTTTAATTTTAAAAATTCTCACACAGAGAGTATTGTTTGTGTTGAGCTTTGTTCAAACAGTTGACAGTTTTACACGTCTCAATATTATAAAACTTAAAATGAGAAGATTCATAAAACAGGCATTTACAAATATAAAGACGGAAATAAAGTCGAGTGATATTTCACTTTGACCGAGTTTAAGCTTCACACAACGTCTCTAACTTTAGAACGAATCTTTATTTATATATATATATATATATACATATATAAATGCCAGGTCATGGATATATAAAAATTTGCCAAAATTTCTAACTAAGGATTAATTTTCTCTTGCATTTTTATTACATAAGAAAAAAATCATATAGCAAAAATTCTTTTATCCATATTTTGCATTTAAATCAGGTCAGTGACCTTTTTACTTCTCGACTTTATATTTGAAAAATTGTTAACAAGTTTTATAAACTATTGGATCAATAAGTCTTATACAGTCCATTATATTTCGGAGGGGAAATGTTAAAAAAAAAAATTTTAACAGTAATCGTGGATCTTGAAAAAAATTTAAATATATATTTAAAGTGTTTGAACTTAAATTATATTTAATTGCGTTTTTTTGATCTAAAATCTGGAAAACATCAAGCAATTGGGACAATGGCGTTGTGAATATCTCCTTTAAGTATTGATCGTGCCAGTGAAGCCAAGCCCACGAAGCCTTCTATATAAGTATACAAGTCTATATAGATTTCAACAATATTCAGGTTCAATTATAATCCGGGTTTACAAAAAAAAAAATTTTTTTTAAAATTGAAAATTAAAAAAAGAATGATAAAATCTGTATTAGTTTGTCTAATTAATAAAAATCCGATTGTTAAAAGAGATTACTGCGTATAAAATAGCTAAAACCAAAATCAACAATTTTATAAAAAAAAATTAACGCAAAACGATATTTTTACAAGAAATGTGAATTTAAAAAGGAGAAAAAGAATAATTGTAGCTTTTAAGAGGCAGAATTATATTCATTGAGACAAGTGAAGACCTTGACCTCGGAAGATTAAAAAAATTCCTTTTTTTTATTATACAGTGACGTGTACAAAAGGAACGTGAAATTTTTTTTTTCTTTTCGTATTCCTTTCTCGTATAAAGGAACTTTATATATATATATATATATTGTTCACTAAAGCTATCATTATATGGTAGGAAACTAAAACACTTAATGATAACGGATTGTTACGGTCAGTAGTCCCTTTATTTGAAATTCTAGAATACCGTTTGCAATTATAAATCTCGTGCATATTCCAATTAAATAAAGAATAACAGATAAATTTCATAATATACGATGTATAAATTTAAAATATCGAATGGCTTTAATATTAAATATAACTTTAAGCTCCTATTTATGAATAAAATTGCATACATTCTATTAAAATAATAAAATGGAAAAAGAATTTTTTTAATCAAAGAATATTCTTATAAATTTAATTTAAAAATTAATTTTAAAAATTAATTTTAAAAATTAATTTTAAAAAAATTTGATTTTAATTTAAATTTGATTTTAAAAAAATTTGATTTTAATTTAAATTTGAATTTAATTTAAATTTAATTTAATTTGTTACATTTTTGAATATATTTTTAAAAATAAAGAATGAAATCTAAATAAAATTGTAGAAAAATATTTTCATTGAAAACCGCAATATTTGTCTACTCTAATATTTACACTTATCGATTGTGAAGATTTTCATTCAACATATTATGACACTCTTCGTTAAAAATTTGTTAACTATGAAAAAAAAATGTCTAAATATAGGTGTATATATAATGAGATAAATTCTTTCGTGCAAAAAAATAAATAAAAACGTAATTTGTAATTATTTAAAGATATATTCGAGAAATCGAAAAAAATCTCTTACCACAAATCAAAATGTTAAACTTTTAATGCGGTAGAAA